AACCCTTTAAAAGAACACTGCGTTCTTCTGTTTATTTCATCCCTTCTTTCTCTCTTCTCAAATACATCTCTTCTACCACTACGCCACTACACATAATCCTGCTGCAACAGGTTATGGGCCCACGCTCACCAGCGTTTTAAACCACCCTACCACTCGTTTTACGCCCATCGGTCGCAACGATCCGCGTAACGACTACACGCGCCCGCACGCCCGTCGACTACCACTCGAACCGCGTGACCGCGCCACCCTACCCGCGCCCGCACGCCCGTCGACACCGTCGAACCGCGTGACCGCGCCACATCTACGCTCGCCCGCACGCCCGTCGACCTTGTCGAACCGCGTGACCGCCAGCAAGAGCGCCCGCACGACGTCAAGTGACACGACCTCGTGACCGCGCTTCTCCCCATTTTCAAGTCACTTCGTGTCTCGCCCGTCCGCTGACCCGCAAAGACCAAGATGAAGAAGGCTCACAAGGGGATACCACTACTCCATGGCACCAGCGACTACCGAAGGTGGCACTCGAAAGTGATCGCACACCTCGAGTCGCTGGGCCTCAAGGACCACGCGACAGGGCTAACCGTCGTGCCCGAGAAGCTACACCAGAGCGAGACGGACCTCTCGCTGGCAATCCGACGCCTTGAGCACGAGAAGCACATCCAACAGACGCTCGGCACGATCAAGAAGCTGGTCGATGACGACCTCCTTCCGTCGATCGAGGGTGCCACCACCGCAAAAGCCGCGCTCGACATCCTCGAAGCGCAGCTTGTAGCAAAGAACATGGCACGGTTCATCGCCACCATCTGCAAGCTCTTCTCGCTCAAGAAGAAGCCCGAGCAGAGCGTCGCCGCGTACTTCGCCGAGCTCGACGGGCTCATCACGCTCACGGTAGCTGACGCCGCCGAGGACATCAAGCACCGTGTCGCCCTCCCGGATCCCAACGCGCTCGTGGTCGGACAGCTGTCGCCGTTCACGATCACGTACTCGAACGACCTCCTCCGTCGCTACATCACGAAGCACGCCACCGCCGTCGCCCTGGCCGGGCTGCCGGAGGAGTACGAGATGGCCAGGGCCATCATCGGAGACTGGCCAGAGTTCGACGCGAACCGCGCACGCGCCAAGATCCTGGACGCGGCATCATCGAGGCCAGCGTCGACGTCGCAGGTCGGCGACAGAGGATCCAGCTCCACGACGTGCTCCACGTGCCTAATCTGGCGCGCAACCTTCTGTCCACGTCCCGATTCGCCTCCGCCGGGCTCACCATCAAGATCTCGGCCCAGGGGTGCAAGGTGTTCTCCAGGCGCGATCGCCAGACAGTGCTTCGCCCAGTCGACCTGGGGCGCATGCTGGTGGCCTCCCTGCGCATCGACATGGCCCCCGGTGAGCGAGCGCTGACGGTCAAGGCGCCGCCGGTCGACATGGAGTTGCTCCATCGTCGGCTAGGGCACATCAGCGAACGGCGCGTCCGCGCGTCAACTGGCGCGGCCGAGATCGTCACGCGCGGAGACAGCGTCGAGCAGTGCGAAGTGTGCATCCGCGCGAAGCAAAACACGGGCACCCATCGGTGCTGGTCCAACTCAGCGCGCCGAAACCG